ATTGCTGTTGTATATGAATTTCCAGCTTTATAAGGGATAGGATGAGGGAGACAGCAGGGTTATTTCTATATACTTATTGATGAGCAGTGGGGGACATTTGGACAGATAACATTTTTGTTATGCATCGCAGTGGGACAGAAAGGGTGGGTAACTCGGAATCTAGGAGTGGGTGGGGAGCATCTATGAGGACTGGGGAGCAGGACCACTATATTTAAAGAGCGGGGCTTATGAAGCAGAGAGTCACTGAATGCTTTGCACTAGAATGCCAGTCATGGGGGGTGAGCTGCAGTGGTCAGAGCAGAGGCTGGCAGGCAGGGGTGGAGGAGAAGCTGCCATCATCTGCGCCCACGGTCTCCTTCACCCCTCTCTTCTCACAGGCACCTCCACCAGAGCAGCATTCTCACTCTGGACAGCATGGAAGACCTGTCCCGAGACATTCTGGATCTGGCCGACACGGACATCACGGACAAGGTGTGTGTCTGCGGCTGCTCGGCGTGTGTTTCAACCTGCACACTTGTGCTTCATGCTTTCCAACATTCTTGCTTACCTTAGAAAACTGCACTAGAAAGCAGATATTCTCATTATCTAACAAAGGTCAGTCCCAAATAGAATTTGTTCCTGTAGTGGAAAAAGCTCACAATGCTGTAACCCTCTCACATTCACAAAGAGAAACTGGAGTGCTTTAATTTGTCTCCTCTATAGCAGTGTGTTTCATAACTAGATAGTGTGGATTCTAGAAGGAAACCAGTGAGTAATACCAGTGCTTATCATTTTTTTTTCTGTAAATGTTGCTCAATTGCAGTGACTCCTACAGCAAAGAAGATTAAAAGTGTTTTCCTTTATGTTAAGGAATTAATTGACTGATTGCTCTTTTATATCAAATAAACTGAACGTTTCCACAACTGCGAGTGTAGTGTAGCCCACTCCTGAATGGGCAGGTTTTTCTTTGGCTTCATGGAGCACCAGGGCTGCGCCAAAGAATCTCACTTCAAAGAGGCAATGGAAATACACTAAATTTCAGTCTGCTAAACAGCAGATTTTAAATCGCTGTAAACCTAGATGTAATACCATCTTGGTAATGCTTTCATTAACTTTGCATATTAGTTTCCAGAAACAGAGTCATGCTTGTCGGTGATTGGTGAAAAGGCTGCAACAGATGCCCCTGCAAAGGGACTGTAGTTGCTTGGCAGTTGTGAACTATTCAGGTCATCAGCCACTGAAGATATAAGCAAAGTTAAATACAGACTTCTTCCTTTGACGGGTGTAGGGTTGTTCATTGGTTCTTTCCTGAAGAAGTGTGAGGGCACGACAGTGTGTGTGTGATCAGCAATGTGCTTGACACCAGTGTGTGTGCGCGCACAGGTGATGTTCCTGGAGAAGCGCGTGTCGGAGCTGGAGAAGGACTCCACTGCTAATGGAGAGCAGCATGCACGCCTCAGACAGGAGAACCTGCAGCTGGTCCACAGGTGAGGGGAGACCTGGAGCCTGGGCTCTGAGCTCTTAGATCAAGGACAGTCCTCCATGTTACTGTCACTGCATTGCCAGTCCATAGCAGGAGTGAGTCAGTCACTGCTACTGCACTCCTATGCAGGACTGTTCCAGTGAATAATTAAACAGTCATTAATCAGAAATGTGGAGGACTAAGCAAAATATGACAGCTCCAAAATAGTACAGCACGTTTTAATATTTTCAGAATATAGGGTAATAGATTTGTAGTGAGCATGAGAGTATCTGGGTTGGATCAGGGCACAGTCTACTTAAAATAATCAAAGGCTGCCAAATCACAAAAACGGCAAGTGGCAAGGTTTTAAAGCCAAAGTTTTTTACGAAATCTGTAGGGAGCTAAAAATGCGATTAAGATCTCAGAATTGAGGTGGGTCACATCTTGTGAATTTGTAATTTACGGCAGGAGCCTGTAGTTAAAGAGGACAACTGGTCTGTGGGGGTGACTTGTTAAAAGCTACATATGGTGACTGAGGGGGAGGAAAAGGACCTCTGTTGTTTGAGACTCTTAGACGAGTAAATCGGCGCTCTGGTGTGGGTGGGATCTGCGTGCTGCACTGCTCCACGTTGAGTGGTCACTCCAGCGAGGGCCCCAGGCGCTCACAGTAAGAGCTGTGTTGTCCCCACAGGGCCAACGCTCTGGAAGAGCAGCTCAAGGAGCAGGAGACGCGCGCAGAGGAAGCCATGCTGCTGGAAGTGCGCCGACAGAAGGAGGCGCTGAGCCGGCTGGAGAGGGAGCGTGGCATGGAGCTGGAAAATCTGCAGAGCAGGTCAGCCTCCCCTTCACTGCTGCTGCTCAGCTGTGGACTATCAGACCAGCTCCTGAAGCACTGCTGCCATCTAGTGGTGTTATTGAATAGTGCAACCTGACTTGCCTGACTTCTCGTTTTGACATGATCATTGCAGTTTAATTTTTCTACTAAACCAACATTTATTTTTTTGTGTTCATCTAGTTATCCTCACACTACCATTTATTGCTCTGTCCCTTTCTTACAGTTTAACCTAACAGATATATAAATAATCCACTGAGGAGTTTTGTTCTGCCATTACCGTATGCAAATGATGCAAGGAATTCTTAATGATGGATTATCATGCCTGATTGTTAACATAGCCTTGATTTACGTTTTGTTGATTGCCCGAATTAGTGGTGTTCTGAATATTTCCAAATGAGAATTTTGCCTGGCAATCACTATTTAGAACACGAGAAAAATAAGCCCATCTAGGCTGTTTGGTAATTATTAATAGCTGGTTCATCCAAGCATCTCATCCAGGCATTTTTTTAAAGAAGCCAGGGCTTTTAGAATACAGTTGGGTAACATACTCCAACAGTTCTTTGCTTAAAGAAGTGCCTTGTGTTTTAAATGCACCTCTTTGTAGTTCTGACTTTCTCGGGTTCATGTATCATTGTTGATTCTGAAGAAGTCCTGTGGATTGACTCGATCAGTGCCATTGAGGATTATAGATTTGTATCGGGTCCCCTTATAGACTTCTTTGTTCAATAACTCCTCAAGACTCAATTCCTGCAGCCTGTCAATATGAGACATTCTTTAATCCCTGGAATGCATCTGAGCAGTGCCGGATTTCCCATTAGGCACTGGAGGCACAGTGCCTAGACCCTACGAAGGAGGGAAACACTAGTGACTACCAAAAAACGAGCTGAAACAACAGGCTTGCGATCGTCTCTAGGTGCTCCGAATCAATCATCATGCGCTATCTAGCGGCTGTTCTGGGAACTAGGAGTATCGAAGGGATGGTCGATCGACTCCCTCCATCAGTCACGTGGTTTAGCATGAGAAGAGTATAAAGCGCATCATGTCAATCAACGTCATTCAACTGGCGTTTACCCCTCGTTTTGCAAATTTCAGAGTGAAAGTGCCCAGGGCCTACGAACACCCAAATCTGTCCCTGCATCTGATTGCTAATGATACATTATGTTGGCTTTTTTCATTCGCCACTATTTATGCAGATGTACTCAAAGTAACAATACATTGCCTGGCAATTGTTGCTGACTTGAAGAAGAGCCCATCACTCCTACAACCACAGGAGGTCAAAGGGGGAGTGGGAGTCCTATTGGTTTGCTGGTCGCACAAGCTGAATGAGGTGGACAAGAGCCCCGTGTGGAAGGAGGGGAGAACTGGCAGGTGGTGCTCTGCTGTTTGTATATCGCTGACCTCAGCTGTGCTGTTTCAGGCTGCAGCAGCTGGACGAAGAGAACAGCGAGCTGCGCTCCTGCGTGCCCTGTCTGCGCGCCAACATCGAGAGGCTAGACGAGGTGAGGAGAGCCGCCTTGCTCCGACGCTGGCTGTGGCTTTTCAGGACTGGGAGCATTCCAGCTTGATCGTGCCGCCGCCTCTCTCCATTTTGGAAGGTTTTAGTGTCGTGTCCCGCTATGCGCGCCCAGTGGCCCTTTCCCACTCCTCCTTTCTCTCCGCAGGAGAAGCGAAAGCTGCAGGACGAGGTGGAGGACGTGACGGAGAGGCTGAACGAGGAGCTGGAGGCACGCAGGAAGCTGTCGGACAAGCTGGCCCACGAGCGGCACAAGAACCAGAAGGAGAAGGAGTCCACACAGGAGGTGAGCTGGGCTTCTGAGAGAGTGCGCCGTCTCCAGAACCTCACAGTGGGCATTATGTAGGTGTCCTAACCATAACTAATTAAGATTATCAGAGGTCTACTCATTGACATGACAGCAGCCATGTCACCCTCCAACTCCAGCTGGCAGCCCACTGAAGGCCAGCAGGCGTGAGCCTGGCCAGTACCTGGATGGGAGACCTCCTGGGAAAAACTAAGGTTGTTGCAGGAAGAGGTGTTAGTGGGGGCAGCAGGGAGGCGCTCACCCTGCGGTCTGTGTGGGTCCTAATGCCCCAGTATAGTGACGGGGACACTATACTGTAAAAAAGGCACCGTCCTTCAGATGAGAAGTAAAACCGAGGTCCTGACTCTCTGTGGTCATTAAAAATCCCAGGGCGTTTCTCGAAAAGAGTAGGGGTGTTACCCTGGCGTCCTGGCCAAATTTCCCATTGGCCCTTACCAATCATGGCCTCCTAATAATCCCCATCTCTGAACTGGCTTCATCACTCTGTTCTCCTCCCCACTGATAGCTGGTGTGTGGGGAGTGTACTGGCGCACTATGGCTGCCGTCCCGTCATCCATGTGGGGCTGCAAACTGGTGGTGGTGGAGGGGAGTCCCCATTACCTGTAAAGCGCTTTATGTGGAGTGTCCAGAAAAGCACTATATAAGTGTAAGCCATTATTAATTATTATTATTATTAATTTGTTAGATTTTTAATCCTTGCATCGGCAATCCTTGCTTTCTGATGCGATTTGAGAATGACCAGCTGAGAATAGTGTTTTCGTCTTCTTCTGTGCGACACGTAGCTTTTGTTTGTGCTTCCTTGAGATTTGCCCCACCTGTCTTAACTTTTGTTCCGAAATGCTACCGAAAACAAAACCTCCCGCGCGCACGCGCACGCGCGTGACTGTGTGTGTATGTGTGTGTGGCGAGGCCTGCAGCTCCTCGGTGTCCTCCGCTCCTGTGCCCACAGCTGATCGAGGACCTGCGGAAGCAGCTGGAGCTCCTGCAGCTGTACAAGCTGGAGGCCGAGGCGAAGAGGGGCCGCTCTTCCAGCGCCGGGCTGCAGGAATATAACAGCCGGACCCGGGAGGCCGAGCTGGAGCAGGAGATACGACGCCTCAAACAGGTACTGTCTTGGCTCCTCAGCCAAGCGCGGATGTCTGAGCAGGATTACCGCTGCAGCAACACATCAGCGGTAGGGTAGAACTACCCTGTATGGTCTGAACCCAGCTCACATTCCGCCGCATCTAGGCATGGGGCACTCGGGTCAAGCAGACAGAATCCCCACTGACACACTGAAACCAGAGCTCTGCCATAATTTTAATGAACAAGAGAAACTAAAGACATTTCGGAATGAAAATGATCAGATCGCTACTTTCTCCCGAATGGTCATCATAATCTGTTTGATATCTGGTCACAAGGAGGTGACTAGGATTCACTTTGATTTTAAACATATCTATTTTAAGTGATCTGCTTGAATAATTCTCGAATTTTCGTTCTTAAGCAACCTTGGGGCAGAAAGCTTGTTTTTTTCTGGTAGAGAGGTGAACTTTGTAGAACTTTGGTTTCTGTTCTTTAAAATAAATTTCAAGTAGACCCCTGCAATGAAAAGTGCTTTACATTCCTTTAATGCAGGTAATCCCTCTTATCGAGCGGATATTGACCGAGAAAGTTGCCTAGCTTTGGTCTGTCTCATTTAAATGATAACCCAATTAGCTGAATAGCTCTGAATAAGCTCTGGCTAAAGACAGTGGCTGACGGATTGCTTCCTGCAGGACAACCGCAATCTGAAGGAGCAGAATGATGAGCTCAATGGGCAAATAATCAACCTCAGCATCCAAGGAGCCAAGAATCTTTTCGCAGCCTCTTTCTCCGAGTCCCTTGCAGCAGAGATCAATTCAGTGTCCCGCGATGAGGTACGTCCCCAACCAGCTGAGCTCTGAAATCTCCAGCAAGCCCACAGCAGCTAGCTGATTACAATGAACAATATTGTCATCGAGCCATATTAAATTACAATGTTTGTTTCTGAACCACATTTTTACAAGATTGCCTCAAAATGTGCTTTTTTGCTAGCGGCTAACCCATTTTAAAAGTGCATTTTAAAACTACTTTCCTGGGCCGTCAGTAGTTAAGACTGTAATGTTTAGCGTGTTACCCTTCAGTGAAATGGCTACACTGTGTTAATTCTGTACTGATTGTGCAATGTGTCCTTTACCCTTGAGTGCACTGTGTCCAAAGGTGCAACATTTACAGCAGGTTTTCTACTTTCCAGGAATGAGCAGCTCCCATTCTGGAAGACCTGCAGATTTTAATTCCACCCATGCTTGTTATCTTATGTAGTTATTTGGGTGAGAAGTCAACTTGCCTGTTTTTGTCAGACTGCCGCTAATTAAAGAGGACCCTGGCCCTCAGGGACTAGTGCTGCCTACCCCTGAGAACTCAGAGGCTGTGCTTTTCAGCTGCAGGAATGGGCTTTTCACTGAGTTGCTTCTGCTTTCTTTCTTAGCTCATGGAAGCCATCCACAAGCAGGAGGAGATCAACTACCGGCTGCAGGACTACATCGACCGCATCATTGTAGCCATCATGGAGTCCAACCCCTCCATCCTGGAGGTGAAGTAACGCCCTCTCCATCCTCGAGCTCACTCCACCTAACCTCACCTCACCCCACTGCTGTCGCCACATGGCTGGCCGCACCATAGGCACAACGAATGGACTTGGAGGAGAAAAGCGCTCAGAAGATTAAAGAAAAGGTTATATTGTCTTGGAGATCACTGAGTGGATTTGTACGTGACTAAGGCAGAGTGCCCTGGAGCTCTGCGGCTGTGCCCCAGGCATCTCCGTGCTGAGTGGTTCCTGTGACTCCCCTTGGAAGAGGGATGGAGGGGCCTAGTTTCCCAAAGAAGCCTGTGTTTCTGTGTGTCTGTGTGTGCGTGTGCTCTTCTCACTGTGGCCCTTGGGGTTTCTGGAATGTTCGCGGGCCACAATCCTTGTTTCTGGCTACGTTGGAGAGCAGGGCATCCCTTTTACTCCAGGGGTTCCTGCTGAAATCGGGGACAGGCGTCACTTGGCAGTTAAAGTTGACCTGCTCTGTGATCTACTTCTCTCATCACAGTTCTTTTGTGAAATTCCAATATTTTAGAGGATCAATCTGTTGGCAAGGTGCAGTTCCTCCTCATTCCAGGCTTTAATGTCTTGTGCTAAGAGAACGTGCTGATGGAGCTGGGGTTCATCGCTTTCGGACAACTTGTTTGTTCACTAATATAAATTGGACCCTAATTGTAGAGAGTCTTGAGCAGCCCTTCACAGTATGCACAGTAAAAACTCCTGTCTCAGCAATGAGGGCATCCCTGTAAATGCATCTCAGACAGACTCGGACTTTGAGTGATGGCTAGTCTTATAGCAAGGTGCTTTTCTCCAATGAGAAAATGAGAGGAGCTGCCTTTATCCTGGACAGGCAGAAGAAACCGTCAATTCTCTGTCCTAAGACACTAGATGTAACATACGTGTATGGGCACCTTTGGTTTAGCTCACTATTGGAAATCCTGTGGTAAAAGGATGATTCTTGAAAGTTATTTGCAGTTAGATTGCCATAAGGACACTCCTATTCAGCCAGTCTGGCCCTTGCTGTCAGGATAAAGCACGCGATTCCTGCATAATAATACCACTTTTGATTTTAGCCATTCTGTGTCGTGAAACGCAACACCAGCAACCTACGAAAAAACATGAATCCCATTATTTTACCAGGAATGCATTCATCAATAGAATAATAGGAGAAAAATGTAAAGTAAGATGAATCCACTTCTCTCTCTCCAGGCCTTTAAAGGAACTCACTAGAAAGAAAGCTGGCAATGCATTGAAATTTAAAACTTGAAATTGTACTGACTCATCGCTTAATGACTGCACAGTATCACTTTGACCCAATTTGTTCCCAATTGTGGTTCGGGTCGCACAACCACCTGCTGGTTCTTATTCCATCTGAGGTCTGTTATATCATTAAACCCTTAACTAACATATTATTGGGATTCATTTGACATCTTTGTTTTCACCTTTGTCGTCAAACATGTTTGGTGTTGCATTTGACCCCTTTTGTTTCTTAAAGCTTCCTAATCATTTGTTATCTTGGTGAAAGATTCAGTTAGGGAGAGAGCTTACCTGGCGTGAAAACCAGCAGGTATGTGGATCCACATGGCTGGCATGGGGGAACCTTTAACTTCAACATCACCTGTTTATTTCTGTAGGTCCCTCTTAGTGTTTTTGGGGTCCTCTTAGAGCACAGTTTCCTTCCTCTGTAAAACATCACATTTTTTTCTGATGATAATGTCATGAAGCACTAGCTACATCACCACAGGAATGGCAGCTGTTGAAGTAACGTTTTCCTGGTCACGGCCTCGGAAGGAGCTAGTTTTGTATTTGCCTGGGAACTGAATGTTGTTACCCGCACTTGTTTTCTTTCTTCTTTTGAGTTTCGGTTTAGCCAGCCCTAAGTGGCGATTGTAGCCAGTTACAGGGCGAAGGAGCTCAGTGTGTTACAGAACCCCACTCCCCTCCAAGGTGCTGTACTCCGCTGTCAGTCTCTGACTGTCGGACCCAGTGTGTCTTCATTGTGTGCGAGTGTGTGTGTGAGAGTGTGTCTCATGTAGTTCTGTCAGGGGCTGCCTTCCTCCGCCCTGCTGCTTTTCACTATAATAGCTATACTTGAAGCTGGGACGGACATGCGTTGGGTACCAGTGGGCTTGTAGCACGAGGGGCAGCCAGCCAGCCTGCCTGCCTCTTGCCATTGGCTCACTACCACCTTCGGGTTGGAGGCCTGCCGGTGAGGCTCATGAGTCGAGGCAAGGCAGCCAACAAAGGGACAGATATCCCCCATCCCCACTGATTGAGCCAGGGACCCAAGAGCCCAGCGGCAGTACAAGACTTCTGGGAAGGAGCTCCATTGACGGCAGATACAGTCGCCGAGCGGACATCACGGAACTGACAAGTCTCACCCACTGGAGCTTTGCGTGTGGCTTCTGTTGCTAAACAGTGAAAGAGAGGATATCCAGGATGGTAGGGAGCAGTAGGAGGGGAGGCGGGGGGGAGAGGACAGGGACATGTTTTTTACAACAGCAGCAAGAGAGCCGGTGTTTGTTGAAGACACTAACTCTGACAAGCGGACATGCAAACTCAACCCAAGAAGAGTCCAGTGGATGGCTGATGGTACCACCTCTAATGCTCCGCTGGACTTCGTAGCTGTGTAACACTGTCACTGTATTATTTAGCAGCCCTGTACAAATATCACCCTTAAGAATCGTGCACAAGTTTGTCATCATTGGGTTGTGTCTTACTGCATTCTTTGAGCTGGGGATAGTCTGTTTAATAGTGCAGCTCTTTTTGATGAAGTCCCAGTCTGAAGTGTAAACTAATAACATGAATTGGTTTTAGTTCCCCTGTCGTGTTGGGACGTTTTCACTGCTCTCCAGAAACTTCTCAGCTGTCTCCCACTTCTGAATGTCTTCATCTGGTTAGTCAATAAGAAAACATTTGCTCTGTTTCTTCATATTTTGGGCATCAGGCAAATACCATGTGGTTCTAAACTTGGTCCCTTTATAAATTCTCTTCGAGTATAATTGAGGGTACAGGCTCATTAGACAACCAGCTGGCAGTGAATGCACTGTAATGTGGGTTTTGCCAGCTCCTACAGTGGAAATCGCGTCAAAGAGCAACCTTAGCACCAACCCAAACAGCATGTCTCTTAAATGTGGAAAACGCAAGACATTTGCTTATAACTTCGGCAACCCTGCAACTTTTCACGTCACAAAGGGACTAATTTTATAATCACATGGATGTACTTGAGCAATAACTAGAAATTACCCCTAGACTGCTTCTGTGTACTGTCTACTTTACTGAAGAAGGGGCAAATTGTAAATGTTTTATGTGCTTGTATACTGAGAAGGGCAATCAATCATACACTGTATTAAACAGCTCCTGACTGAACTGGTTCAGTGCAGCTCGGTTGTTAATATTATGCGACGTGTGTACCGATTGTTGTAGGACTGTAAGAATTTGAAGGTGCATGTCTTATCATGGGCATACTGTTACTGCACATGGCGAGATCGGGCTTTGCTCTGGGCTCAGGACCGCGCTGGGCGCACATGACTGGGCCAGTCCTGCTGTGGAATCCAAAATCGCTGTCCTGGGATGCCCTCTGGCCCGGCAGGGTCATTGATAGGGAAAGTAACCTCACTCCTGTACCTAAACGCTTGCTTCTTAATGTTCTTTGCAAAATGGCCTTGGATGTAAATTATTGTACATGTTTTTTCTATCTCGTAGATCTAGGTATTTTTATAGACTGAAGGAGAATGACTCGTCTGTGTTCCACTAGGAATTAGCCCACCTATGTGGAATTCAGCTTAACCTTTCCCTGTTCTTTCATTTCACATCTGTACATATATACACTACATCCACAATTTACTTTTTACATCATTCTCCCTTCATCGCTATGGCTTGCAAAGACAGAGGGATGTTCTGTAAATGTAATTTATCCTGGATCGTGAAGGGAACTGACTTTTTAGTGGCTCGTTTCTGTCCAGCCTTCCCTCTGATGACCGTGTAGAGCCAAGGAATGCTTTGTCCCACCAGTCTGCTCGTTTTAAGCGAGATGGGTAGCACTGTGCATTACCATAGCTACAGTGTCCTTTGCATCACTTAACTGTTGCCCGTTTTGGTTTTCTTTTTCTGTACCTGCTCACTATTATGTCTGTACAGTGAAATCCGGAGACCTTGAAAGGCTGTGGGGTTGAAAATCCTTTACAGCCTGTTATCTGCTCAGCACCACAGGAAAAGAGTGCTCCAAGGAGAGGGGGGTAGAGACCAGTGCCTGGAAATCTGGACACTAAAAGGCTGCTCAGGCTGTTCTGAATCCTTTAACCTAGCTTCTAGCCAGGGCTTTATCAGGGCTGTAGCCCTACTTCAAACCCTTAAGGTATGAAGGTGTGTTTATCCTGCAATGTGAGCTGCAGTAGCAACAGTCAGGCAGCTCGGTGCATCAGGGTGTATTTTCTTGCATTGCATCTGATGAAAGGATAAAGAATCTTTTGATGTGACCGGCTTGTTAATACACTATGTAATTTATTGCAGACGTCAAAGGGACATGTCGGATTTACACCCTCCTGTCTGCGCCGGGCTTTGCTTTCACTTGATGTACGCAAATCTGAAGGAGTTCAGAGGTTGAGCAGCCTTCGTCCTGGAAATTTTCAACATCGCTGATGCAGCACGATCAGTAACGGAATATATTTTGATGAAAATCTTTACTCCTTTGAAAACAAATATACTATTATGTACTTGAGAATGTCCTCTTGTTAAATCTAAACAAGAAGGTGGCTTAAGAATGATGCAATTGTCTTTATTACCACAAACCTACAGGAGCCATTGCTTCAACAATAGTTGACCCCTTAGGTGTATATTTCTCCTTCGGTTTTCCCTAGTTCCTTGAAGTTGAGTTTCACAGCTGAAAACGATGAGATCAGTGCCCTGCTCTCTCTCGATCCAGCCTTACTGATAAAGTCTGCATAGTACTGTATGAGCAATGTTCATGACTTGTACATTGTTTAAAAGTAAATTAAGTTCAGATATATACAGATATGTTTGTTTTTAATAGTTCACAATCTAGCTTCCAAGTTTCCAGAGAAAGGTGGCTGGAAGACCAATCTCCCTCCTGTGTGGTGCACTCACTTTCCAAACTCACATGGTAACTGAGGATTGTATTGTAAACTGGGCTTCATTCTAATCGTGAAGGATAATGTATTAATTAAAAGATCAGTATTGTTTACTGCTGTATGTCACTGTTCCCCTTGAAGAAATCCTGAAAGATGTAATCATATTGTTTGAAGAATTATAGACTTTCCAAGTTACTGTAAAAAAAATCCAAGTGTCTCTGTGTCATCATTGTAGGGTGTGGGTATTTAACTTTTTAAAATGACATCTTCAGTTACAGCAAAGCTGTTTCACTGGACTGGATATAGTTCCATCTGATCACATGACAGTGTTCCCGTTGCCACGGTGAAATGGAATCGCTTCTCCTGCATTTTTTCAAACTGAAGAGGTTTGTGATGTCATCAGAAAATTCAGTCTTAGAACTTCATGAACGTTCTAATCCTTGGTGAAACATTTAAATCCGCTTATTTTCAAAGATAGCCTGCTGCTGGACAGGTGTTTAATTGAGTGTCTTTGACTCAAATGTCTTGTTTCGCAATGATTCGACGGAACCAATACCACTCTCCAAGTAAGTCATTTTTTATCGTGAAGAAGAACTTCGGATATTGACTATAGCACTCTTTTTTTAAAAAAGGCCTGTGGGATAGAACCTGAATTAAATGTAGAGGAAATATGAGTCACATTTTTAGATGGTGATGATGATCTTGTGGCTAATACAGTATTCCCCATCTGAAAACTGTTTTCTGAAGCTACCATCAAAGACTTGGGTAACATTTTAGAAGTGATTAAAAGATTTTTTTTACGAAAGTCATTGTAGACCATCTCTTGTTAATCAGTGGAAAAACTTTGTGATCTATAAAGGCTTTAAGTTATAGGTCTTCCATTACTCCTTTTTTATGAACAGGAGGAGAACATGGTGCTAGTTCTGCACTCCACATGTACCCCTCAGAGAGCACATTCAAGAGAGGGTATACCTCTGCTCAGACCCCTCCTGCAGCTGTGGGACAGGAGAGCTATCTTCCAGCGAGCTGGGCAGCATCGGTGTACCAGCCAAACCCCTGGTATCCTAGAGGATTTCTTTACCATGGCAACCACGCCCCTGTCTTCTGGAGCCAGAACAGTACTGGCTTCCCCAGGTATCCTGACCAGGCTTTCTCCTGCTCTTCCTGGGCATACCCCTCGGCTCAGTCTGGCACAGCGTCATGGCCAGAGGCCTACTGGCCTTGGGCTTCTCCCTCAGGGTTGTCTGCCTTGAAACCACACGAGGAAGACTGTCCGTTGTTGCTGGCCATGACAGTAGCCGGTATTCCCACAGTCCCAGCGCCAGGAGTCCGGATGGACAGAGTTTTGGCCGCTGCCCGGTACTTTGTGGCGAAGAACCCCAATCTGGACTCCTTGTGGGAGGAGCAGCTGGGAGGAGATAAAAGGGCGTCCGACAGGGTACCGGGGAACCCCAGGAAGAGAGTGTCGCAGGAAGAGGACTACTCTTCCGCCAAGAGGTTCAAGCCCAGCGAGCTCCTGGGGTGTGCTTCTGGCAGTGATTAAGACGGAGGCGTACCATGACTGCTGTTGCACCCTTGAGCCTGAAAATGAACCCTTTACAGCAATAGGAAAGCCCCTGAACAGGTGTTTAATCGTTCTGTGTAGATTAATTTATTGTATGCTTTAAATGGAGTTTTTAATGGACATTCAGGAGGGATGATGGCAGCCCAGTTTATTTTTACCTCTGTTGCCCCATCATTCCCGATGTCCTTTATTCTTTATTCTTTAAATAAAAATGAAAAACAAAATCATTTTCCTCTTTGTATTTGTTGTTTTCAGCTACTCCTTGCTCATTCCTCCCTCTGAGCAGGGAGCTGGTCCTCAGCCCGGTGGGCTTAGACACATCTTGCCATGATTAAACTCTCAATAAGCTCTTTCCAATGCACTTCATTCTGGGGGGAGAGGACGTTGGTCATGAAATGTAATTTTGTTTGATCCAAGGTGATTAATACCATAAGCAGGATGTATTGCATAGGAGCTGGGTCTTAGTGTGTACATTTTTTACTGTGTACGGTGAACTAAACAGCCTTGCATTTCCAGTATAATTCCCCAAAACTCCTGCCACCTGCTCTCTAAGGTTGGGGCAATCGGATTAGACAGGTTTCTCCCACAACCATAATACTCCCCTTGACTCTTCGTTTTGGGGAGGTGCCATTTCCTGTGATAATATAGGCTGAACGCCTTTTCTGTAGCACTTTCCTGCCGTACCCATTTCAAGACTATATTCGTCGTGTTTTAACTTCACTTTCACTTCATGGTCTTTTTTATGCAACGTTACCAAAGAGAACATTTTAGCAAGAAATTATCCACAATGTCAGTAATTGACAGGTTTCAGAAATACACTATACAAATCTTACTACAGAGAAGATGACAGAATAATACGCTTTAACTTTATGCAAAAACAAACTATGGAAAAGGTTTTAAACCGGACACCAACAGTTATTGCACTGAGTATGAAAGGTGTACATATACAGTATGTAACTACAGTGTAAATGTACAGGTTTCTCTCCGTATACTGTATAATCCTACTAGGAACGTTTCTCGTACGTTTACGGAGATGTTTCCCACCGAGGACATTTGAGAAGCAGACTCAATTGTGGTCATGAAGTAATTTCACGGTATTTTAAAAAGCAGAATAACGAGGTAAGCACGTTTTGTTTTTTTAAAACCTAAATCAATGCTTTGCTTTCTCTTAAATATTTCCCTTAATGTTCCTTTTTGTATAATTGCAACATAGATAGGTGCAATGAAAAGTACAGGCATCCAGATGAATAGTTACCACCTGTGATAAAGATACTGTAGTGCACCAAGATGATTTTAAAAAGCTTTTGTGTCGATTTAAGTAGCGTTTCACTAACATTCGTCAAAATAAGAACTGCAATCTGTTTTAGACGATGGTGTGTGAACCTAAATATGTTAAACGCTTCCAATTTAATTGTGCAACTTAAAATGAAGAAACGTTGTGCAGTGTACGTCTAAAACCGCCAGTTTGCTAAATGCATTTAATTTTATTATTTTAAAAAACACAAGTACAAATTTATTTTGTAAAATTCAAGTTTAATTTTAAGGTCGTTCCGAGCGTATTTGCAAGCCGCGGTGTTAAACGCAGGCGTAGTACTTCTTTCTAAAATTATGGTCAACTTGAAGTATAAATCGCAGTTTTGACTGGCATTGTACAAACAAGAAGTGACCCGCGTGCTTCTCGGCTAGTCTGCGTCCGATTTAAAGGTGCTGTTATTAACAACATTCCGTTACCATGAACCAATGAGTATAAATACGTGTCTCCTCTGGTTTACGGAGACCAGGCATTTTACAACCCTGTTTTAATCCCGGTACTGTGGGTGTCCTGCTCACTGTTCCGCCTCGGAATAGTACGGTAGCGCAGGAATTATGTCAGGGTCATTAATAAAATCCCTTTTAACAGCGGATTCCCGTAGTGTGACCAAGCTGAAAACAATCGCCCGGCAACAAAAGCCGGTTTCCTTTGACAAGCCTGATGTATAGCTTAGTCACAGCACCACTGTTCACTAGTTGCGCGTGTGAGAGAGTGTTATTTTAGGCAGTGGTTATTGTACCAAGGAAAGCAAGGAAAGTTCTTACTCTGTCACGCTTGGCCAGGATGGTTCTGTGCATGCTGTAAATATGTAAAGGTGATGGCGGACATCCTACAGAGGTGAGACCCCAGTTTTGCCTGCAGCGTACCCCAGTGCCTGAAGGGTGCTGTCGTGGATGGAGCCCCATGGCCCTGACTTGGAGGTCCGGCCGGCAGTGCGGCGGTGTGTGGCAGCCCTCTCCTCCTCTGGGGACCTGAACGAGGTGACCCAGAGTCTGCGCACGCTGGGGGGCTTCCTGGGGGAAGGCGGTGACGGAGACCAGCCCCCGCCGGGACAGCGGGGCGAGTTTGCCCGGGCGCACTACACCCGGGTCCTGCAGTGCCTCGTTGGTCACGCCGGCGCTAGCTGGCTAGAGCTCCTGCCGCCCGCCCAGCGCGCCGAGCTCTGGGACGGCCTGTTCCTGAGAGGACCCCCGGACCAGGCTCTCCTGGTGCTGCTGGACAGCCTGAGCTCCAGCAGGTACGAAGGGGGGAGGGTTCAGGGACAGCGATAAAAGGCGCCGTTCATTCCACAGCAGGCAGGTTCAGGGTGGAGCCTCTGGGATTGTTAGAGAGGGGCTGATTCGTGCCAGTTGCTGACTGCACAGCAGATGAGGAAGAATGACTGACTAAATGTAGGGGGATGCTTAAGTTGAATACATTGACAGCCTGAATTGGCCTTAAATCAGGACTGATTTTTCACCGGTGCTTGAAGATTGTGTTTGATTACTACCGGCAAAAAGAGCTGTGGTTTAACACCATTTCCAAAAGCTACATTCCCCCCGTTATTTCACTGGAATACTTCTTTTAAGCTCCTGGTCCAGAAAGCAGATGACAACATGACGGCCCAATCTTCTGGCCAGGCTGGTTTTTCTCATAAGAGGCCGTTCCGTTCTAATTCAATTTTGGATGCACCTTGGAAGTGTTGGACATAAATGCGATCTGCCCGACATCTTTGAAGGCATTCGAGTAGGTTGCTGGGCCAGCATGCAAAGGCTCCACAGCTGAAACATCGTGTTTCTTTTCTTTACCGTTCGGCATGGGATAAACCTTCATCCTATCTTTTTAGCCACATCTGATTTAAAGTGTGTTTCAGGCATCCTGGTTTGTAGACATGATCCTGGGATATGACCTCTGTCCTGCTTGGGGTCTAGGCTGGGCATCTCCACTCACAGCTGTTTAACTGTCAGCCCAAGTGCAGGTCTGGACAGGGTGCTGGATGTCTTGAAGCAGTTCCTCCGCGCTGGGCGTCTGAATGCACTTCTGTGGTCACGGTGTCACGGGGTACCCCCTCCGGAGTCCCCCCAGCTCCGGGAGGCCCTCTTGGGGCGCCTGGTCTCCCTGCCTGATATCGCCGCCAACCGCCTACAGCACCAGAACTGCGCTGATTTTCTGCCAGCCAGTTACTACCCACTCCTGGCCAGAGAGGTGGGCACCGTCCTGGAGCAGATCTGTGTGGCTCTGAGAGGTAAGCTGGAGGACGTGGCTGCCAAAAGTCTCTTTGTGTCTTTGAGTAAGCTGAGGGGATCTTAGCGGGGGGTCTCCGAGTCAGATATAAGCCCCTGTGTGCTTGTGTGCCAGTTTGGAACAGGTTTCTCTTCCTGGAAACTTAGGCCTAGTCTGTTAATGCGTGCTTGTTACTTTTCTGTATTTAGAAGTGTTTGTCCGTGTCTGTCTTGAGTTTGTCGTGCCTGAGCTGTGCTGTTGTGTAATACGCCCGACTTTTTGTCTCTTTCCCACTCTGTAAGGTGTGGACTTCTTTGTAAGATGCTTGTGTCTTTGCCTCTCTGATTCAGTACTTGCTCCATTCGCTGTGTTTTCAAGTTCAGGTTCAAGTTGATTTTTGTCATCCCAGCCATATACCAGTATACAGTGGAACGAAATATCGTTTCCTCCTGGTCCACAGTGCAAATACAGACACGCCGACATAGACATTGTAGACAGGATACACATAGTGCAAATTACTAATAATACTAATATTAATAAATAAGATTAAAACTAAGACAGTGTACACCAGAACAGAGGCAGTGGACACTGGATATACACATAGTGTAATTTAACTATTACAGAATAGTACAAAATAATACATCATACGATATACACTAACACTGATATCTTTTCCCAGATGGTGGGAGGGCAAAGAGCTTATGGGAGGGGTGGGAGGAGTCATCTACTATACTGGAGGCCCTGTGTAGGCAGTGTTTGTGATAGGTGACATGAAGGGAAGGAATAATGTTTTCACAATTCGTTGCAGGGAACTTGCAGTCTAAGGTGTCGCAATTCCCAAACCAAACAGTGATACAGCTGGTCTGAATTTTCTCAGTAATACCTCTGTAAAAGGCTGTCTTCCTCTCTGCCTGTGTGTGATGTGTCACCCTTGTGCCCATGCACGCAGGAGGACAGGACTGCTCTCTGACTTTTGTAGCCCAGCTGCTGGGGAAGGCCTGTATGCAAGGACACAGTGGTAAGTGGCACCCAGTCCTCGGGTATCTGTCCTTCGATCACTAGATCTGCATCACGCCTCCTGGATTCCATCTTCGTCACACTGTGTCCAGACATGCAGACGCAGTAAATTACAACCCAGCAAGGCAGGCAGAGCTTCATGGATCTATGAGCAAAACACAGCGCACCAGTTTCCCCAGAGGACCTGGAGCAAGTCCACCCCGAGCAAGTCCCAAGGAGAAGTGGATGGACACCTCCGAGCAGGAAATTCCCTGCATCCTCGTGGGAGTTAAATACTGCGCCTTCTGTGAACTGATCGCTTTACAAATCGGAAGAGGTGACGGTGTCAGGGTGCCTTTCGCAGGGGTGAAAGCACCTTCTCTTTCAAGTAAAAACCTGAGATTTCTACAGATAAATGGCAAATGAGACTCGGCGCCTATTTTCATTTCATTTCATTTCATGGCTACTTGCACAATTGAGGTGTGATTTATTGTAAGGTGCAGAGTGATTTGAAAAGTTTGCCAGCCTATGCAAAGTATTTTTGGAAATGTGTACATTTACACCTGAACATGCGGGGAACACCTTTGCACGGAATGCTTTAGTGTTTTTCTAGTTTAAAATCACCAGCCGGCATTCTCCCAGTGGTGTGTGCGCCGTGGTCATTTTTATCTCATCGCTGTTTATCGACTAGATCCACAGTGTCTTCTTTAAAGGAATGTGGATGAAACAGTACTTATACACTTATCTACCCTTAACCTTCCGTCACAATCCTGCATGCCTGCGTCTCTCACTGCAGCCAGGTGATGTCATCGTTGCACCTTCACACACGTTGCTCTGTTTCTCCCCAGAGCTCATGTTCGCAGAGCTGGTGCCCCGCCTCTCCGCCCTCACCCAATCAGACATGGTGTGGCAGAGGGTGTGCTGGCGATTGGTGGAGAGTGTTCCAGAGCGCTGGGTGGAGGGCGTGGTCACAGGACTGGTGCAGGCTGTGGACAGGTGAGCACTGCCCCAGTGACTTGAGGGCAGCAGGCTTTGAGCAGTGAAGTGAAGGGGCAATAACAAGCCTTCACTCTGTGAGATCTTAAGAGAAAAAGATGAATTGTTCCTCTTTCTGAGAGATCCCACAAGCTAAACTTGACTCCATGCTGAATGTCTCAGTTAGCCTGTAGACGTTGTACTGCTGGTCTCTCAGTGCAGACTCCTTTCTCCACATCTCAGTGTGCTCTGCCTTTCCCTGTCTCTCCCTAGGCCAGGCGCTCTATCCAGGATCCTGGGCAACGTGGTTGTGAAGAATAAAAAAGCCCAGTTTGTCATTACTCACAAGCTCCTGCTGCTGCAGTACAAGTACAAGGTCAGTCAGTTATATCACACTGGTCTCTAGACCATTTCGTCTGGTCCCACTCTGAACTAGAGAGCTCTTGATTTCTAAGATTGTAGAACAGTTTGGTTCTGCGTGGAACCAAATTAGACTTCCATTATGATGCATTTCAGGCTTTGGTGGAAATTGTATGGAAAGAACGGAAAAGCATGAAAACACTAGCATCTGGATAATTTTCACAAAGTAAGAAAGCGTAAAATGTCCAGAACTTGTTGTCTGTCTGACAGGGTGCTGTTGCTTGTCTGATCACCCAAGAAAAGGCTGTGAGTAAGTGAAAAGGCCTCAAAGACTCCTTAGTTTGTAAATCACTCTCTTGATCTTAAGAAGTCACTAACTGTGTGATGGAATGGAATTTTTAAGGGCCAACGTGGGTTTAGGTTTATAAGAAGTCTGTCTTGGTCTCACAGACATTATTTGTAGAGTGAGATTAAAAGTGTGTGTGTGTGTCAAGGACAGTAAATAAGGTGTTATTGTTTGTAGGGTTGATGTTTTCTGTGACAAGTTCCTTGGTTAATTTGTAACTCTCCATAAAGACAGAAAATCATCCTGAACCTCTCTTCACATCGGTGTGAGCTGTGTTAATGTGCGAATGGATCAAGCTCACGTGCGAGACGACAGAAGTAACTCCTGTGTCGCCTTTTCTCTCCCAGACTCCTGTGCTGCGGAGCATCGTGGGATACCTAGCTCAGGACAGGGAGCGCCGCCCTCTTCTCATACAGGTCAGTCAAGCGGAGACGTGGGCAGGAGACGAAGACCCAGTGAGAACTGGGAGGCAGATCTTTAAAGCCTCGCTTGCATCTAGACAGCAGCCATATCACCCCTAACTCACAGCTGACACGCCAGTGGATCTCAGCAGGTGTGAGCCTGGTCAGTACCTGGATGGGAGACCTCCTGGGAAAAACTAAGGTTGCTGCTGGAAGAGGTGTTAATGGAGTCAGAAGGGGGCGCTCACCCTGCAGTGTGTGTGGGTCCTAATGCCCCAGTATAGTGACAGGGACACTATACTGTAAAAAAGGCGCCGTCCTTCGGATGAGACGTAAAACCAAGGTCCTGACTCTCTGTGGTTAATTAAAAATTCCAGGGTGTTCCTCGAAAAGAGTAGGGGTGTTACCCCAACGTCCTGGCCAAATTTCCCATTGGCCCTTACCAATCATGGCCTCCTAATAATCCCCATCTATGAACTGGCTTCATCACTCTGCTCTCCTCCCCACTGAGAGCTGGTGTGTGGTGAGCTCTCTGGCGCACTAAGGCTGCCGTCGCATCATCCAGGTGGGGCTGCACACTGGGGGTGGTGGAGGGGATCCCCATGACCTGTAAAGCGCTTTGAGTGGAGTGTTTAGAAGTGTAAGCATTTATTATTAATTCTAAGCTGACGACTCCTTCCACCGATAGCAGCGTCTGCACGCACGCGGTGCTTGTTTGTCAATGCCAGACGGGGCCTGCCTGTGTCCCCAGGCGCTGCGGGCCCTGCTGGAGGCCTGGTGCAGCGGCAGCGCGGTCCGGCACACCCCGCTGGAGCAGCAGCTGTACCTGAGCCGAGCCCTGCTGCTGTGCGCGGCGCAGCTGACCGAGGCCGAGCTGCGAGATCTGCGCGCAGGTGAGAGGAGCCGCCTGTGGAACAGCGGAAGGAGCAGACAGGTGCCGAGGTCTCGGGTTGATCCGCCCTGTTCTGTGTGTTTTTTTTATTTTAAACATGCATCCTTAAAACTGTAAAAAAAAAAAAAAGGCACGATCTTTTATGTCCGTGTGCTGTGGATGACTTTATTCGACCCATCTGACACTGTTCGCCAGAGGCAAGAGTAAAAAAAAGGATCATCAATTTTGTTGAACACTTTCTTGAAAACGCTGCTTCCTGGAGCGGTCAGAGGGGCCGTAGTTTGGGATACTGGTGCCTGATCTTGGCTGCGTGACCGTGCTTACAGAGATCCTGCAGCGCATGATGGACGGGATGCAGTGCCATCTGGACAGCAGCGTAAGCCGGGTCAGGCGTCTGGGCATGGTGGTGGGAGAGTGTCTGAGCGCCAGGCTCGACCCAGAGGGCACCCAGCTCAAATTCCAGGTGAAGCCTCCGTCGTTATTCAGAAGCCATTCTGAAATCACGTGCTATTTTTCTGTATTTGCTGAGGGAAGTGTCGAGCATGTGTAAGCAAATAGGTGTCACGCTAAATAGTTTGGAGTGGCCAAACGTGTGATTGAAGAGTCCGGGTTACCCAGTCTCGTCTAAGTGTGCCCTTTGCCCTGCTGCTAGCCAGTATCACTTTTGCTCTCCTGCAGTATGATCACGATGCTGAGACCCAGGAGCTGGTGTCACTGATGTCTCCTCTTCCTGCCAGTGAGTCCCTCTCTGAGGACACCCCTGCAGCTGACAGGTAAGATCAACCCTGCAAATATGCCTCCTATATATAGTATATACTTGTATTATATTACACATTTGAAAAATGTATAGGATAGATATGATTATTCGTTTTATCACTGTATCAATAATTATTCTGTTGATAAATAAGAAAAATGAGCTTGTCATTGGCAGCCCTTTGCTTTCTTTTTTTGTAGTATTTAGTACGAGTCCAGCCAAGACTCGAGAGGGCAGCCATGACATGGTTAGACTGCTGACATCGTACAGTACATACATGCAGTTTTCATACCTGTCCCCCAAGGTGAAAGAATCAAGGCATGAAACAGGCATTGCACCTCCCTTAAATTAGGGTAGATGTTTGCGGTATTGATTAATTAACGGGACGGTCCCAAAATGCAAGCGTTATATTGTGCAAATTAGGATAATATTGCTAAATGCCAAACATATACAGGCAGTTTAAGACAATAAACAGTTGTAATTCCTGTTTGAGTTGCTGAGGTCAGCATGCACATCGGTACTGTCCTGAAACTGAGCAGAAAATTTCTTTTTGCTTTGAAAGATATGTAGGAGATTGTTTCAGGTGTATCTGATGCTTATAAAAAAGATAAACACTTGCATTGCAACGATAACAGCGAGACACTGATGCAGTAACAAAGATGCATTGCAATTGTGTTGTTCAAACCAGTTCCTGAGCAGATACAGAAGAGAAGAGAACAGAACAGAATGGTTTTATCATCTTCTTTACTGGACAACTGCATTCCTGCTCTTTGACATGAACAAATTTGTGTCCCTCTTTCAGAACTGAATTGCCACTGAATAGTTCGGAGTCACCTGATAGAGGCCAGAAATCGACAACTCAACCAGATTCACATCAGATTTCAATGGGAACAGAGCAAACCACAGATAAGGGTGATGACTCTGAACTGGACAGGTGAGAAATAACATGCGTGTGTCTCATGAAGAGCAAGCTGGGGTATGCGAAAAGACAAATTCCTAATACAGGAAATTGTATCTGGTCAATAAAGTGATCTTATCTATGTTATCTTGATGGAAACCCTGGGGGGCGCTGCTTTTCACTTCTGCGTGATTTTTACTCTTCAAAATGTGATCAGCAAGAACAGCGCACCCTGCTGTCCCTCCCTGACTCCACAATGTTTTTCAGAACTATCACAGTAGAAAAAAAGATCAATTTTGTAACAACGTTTATTATTTCTATAGTTTAAAATAGGACTGGATAACTTGTGCTCCTTTCCAGTCGACTCCATTACTTGGTTTTGCTGCAGCCAGGTTTAGCAGAATCAGTATGGCTGTTGAGGAGCTGGTTGCATTACAGTAGTGCGATGGAGCAGACTGGGGTGGCTGCAGTTGCCCCTGTCCTGGTTTAAAACAAGTAAATATTGAAGATCCCAATGGACCAGACAGTACAGTGCTGTTCCAGAGCTCCTGCCGTGCAGCGTCTGGCAGTCCTACAGTCTGGCACTCTTCTCCCAGCGCTCATGGAGCTGTGAGGTTATTAAGAGCTCAGTCGGCCTCTGACGGCGCTGTGTCTTTGCACGCTGCAGTGATGACGAGCTGACCCCCTACGACATGTCCCAGGACCAGAAGCTGAGTGAAGTCCCCCCACCTCGCTACCTGCGAGACTGCCTGGAAGGTAAGACAGGGACCGCACTGCTCTGCCACAAGGGGGCACTGTAGAGCCCCTGCCTTCACATTCACATCTACGTGCTGGAGGTTCAAGGGCCCGGCAGGGTTTAGCTTTAGTTTCCAATCTTTCTTGGTCTGTACAAAGCGATTCCTTTAGACAGATAAAATCTATGTTTATTTTGAGTTGAGTAAGAGGAGAATACGAGCTCAGGCTTGGGAGTGAACCCCACAGCAGCCTGTAGTCCTCCAGGCCCAGAAACGAATGTGACTGATGTGGTGGAGGTGAGAGAGGGCAGTGGTGTTCACCTCCGAGAGCTGCCAGCCGTCCAGAACATGGTTATGAACACGACCACAGGTGAAGCTCTACAGATATGCCTTCCGGCTACCAAATTACATTGCTTTGTGGAACAGTTGGTTGAAAACCGCCACCTTAATCGCAGTGCGTAGTGGTCCAGGTGTAAGATTCAGGTTTAAGCGCGATGCTCCTGACTGCCCTGCTCTCCCCCAGCCCTCACCACCTCCGGGGATCCTGGGAAGGTGGAGGCGAGTCTCCAGGCCGCCGAGGGCCTGATCCGGAGGAACGCTGCGGCGGCCAGGGAGGTAAGAGCCAGCCCGCGCTCTCTGTGAGTGTGGGCCCCCCCCCCCCACACACGGGCTCCCCTTCCCTGCTGTCTGCGAACGTGCTCTGTGGACACGAACACGTCACTGAGGAACTCGAGGTGAAACCACGGCGTGCTCCAGGCTTGTAATGGATGAAGAAGATGGTGTCCACAGTCGGACAGCACTCAAAACCTCCTTGGTGTTCTCTGCTCCGTGAAAGAGGAAAAGAATGCATGTTTGCAGTGCAGGCACTCATCTTGTGTTGTTGGCTGTATATTATCATGTCCGCTGTGAGCTTACTCCTCAGGATGTGTAGTTGAAAGGGGATATTGAGGGGATAGTAAGGAGAGGTTATTGCTGTCAGAACACCTCAACTGCGACCTTCTAAACAAAAGCTGGAGGTCTGTCTTTACTGCTGTGTCTGAGAAGCAAACAGTTCCAGCATGGGAGCATGATTTTCTACTCCGGGTGGCATGTTGGCCTTCTGTGTCTTCTGTGCAGGTGAGTGTCCAGCTGACCAAAGTCCTCCTGCACCTGGAGGACAGCTACAACACCGCAGGATTCCTGGGGCTGCGACAGGGTGCCATGGTGGCCCTCGCCGTCACCGACCCCATCCCGGTAAGATTATGCCCTGGCCTGTTCCAGCAGAGACAGCCCTGCACCTGTGACACCTCTGTGTCAGCAGTCTTCGGAGACCTGAAACACACAGAGTCTGGAAACTGCAGTCGTTTGCCTTCACTTCCTTGGAGCTTGTCTGAAAATAGTCCGAAGGGTCTGTTAGCTTACCCAAACCAGGACTGGCCTTGCCTGCCATCAAACCTTTGTAAAGGCACGCTTTCAGAGAGAAAGACAGAAACCGTCAGGGAGTGTCCTCATTCACATCTCGCACGGATTTAGTCGCGTGACTGAGTGACATGAGAGAGTTACAAGCAAGGCCCATTCAGGCACTTTAGTAGTTAGTTAGAAGTTGATGGATCTTTGTTCCCGACTCCCAGAAGCTCCAGGCGTCGTCTTTCACTTCTGTTCTCTCGCTGTCAGGTGGCAGAGTTCCTGACCACTGAGTTCTTTGCGCTGAACTACAGCCTGTGCCACCGGATGGACATCCTGGAGGTGAGAAGCTGGGGCGCCGGCGCAGCGCCCTGCAGGACAGGGGAGACCCTCGTTCTCCCAGCTCAGGCCTGGAGAGCACTGATAGGTCTCCAGTAAATCCCGCAAAG